TTTCCATCGGTTTGCTCCTTCCTGCTATTTTCTTGGTGGTGTCAAAGAGCTCTTTCATATTCCTGCTTGCAGCTTCGGTCTCTGCCTGTTCTGCAAGTTCTTCTACATATTCCCTCTTGTCTTTTCTTACACTTTTCTTTACCTCTTTATTGGCCTCACTATATTTGTGCTGTGCTTTGGCCTTTGCTGTTCTAGTGCAACTGTTGTTGATTGCCTCTTTTTTGGTTTTTCTGACCTCAATCTTCCTGTATTTACTAGCTGACATCCAATTTTTATGCTCTGCTTTTCATCTTCCCAATATCTGTTCACAGGTTTCCACTACAGTCTCTTTGCACTCCTTCCAATAATGCTCAATGCTTGTGTCATTTTCGTCATCAAGCAGTTCTTGTAGAATTTGGAATTTATTGGCCAATGTAAGTCTAAAATCTCTGTGTGTTTTTTCGTCCCTTAGGAAATTGACGTTGAACCTAGACTTCCGTCTTTCCTTCTCATTCCAGTTTTCCTTCAGTTTAAGCTTGATTTTTGCAGTTACAAGATGGTAATCTGAGGCAACATCTGCTCCTCTCTTTACTATCACATCTAATAGTGACCGTCGTAAGTTCTTGCAGGTACAGATGTGATCGATCTGATTTTCTGTCACATGGTCAGGTGAGACCCATGTTGTTTTATGAATTCTTTTGTGTTGGAAAATGTTCGCCTAAATCTGCACACGCATCGGCAAATCTCTCCCCGTTCTTATTCATGTCTCCTACTCCACGCTGTCCCATAACTTCCTCATAGCCGCTGTTATAATTGCCTATCTTCGCATTGAAGTCTCCCATGAGTATATTGATGTCTTTGTTGCTGAGTTGTTCTAGGATGGTGTTTAGCTGGTCATAAAAGCCATCTTTGTCTTCCTCATAACTATCATTCGTAGATACATAACACAAAACCACATTCATCTTTATGTTCTTCTTTTTAGTCTTAAATGATGCGGTCAGATGTCTTGGTCCTCTTGGTTTCCACCCTCTCAATGCTTTCTGTGCTTCTATTCCTAGCATGAGTGCCACCCCTTGAGTGTGTGGTGCACAATCTTCCTCATGTCCTGAATACAGGATAGTTTCACCTGTCATCAGTCGTTGCTGTCCAGATTGGGTCCATCTAGTCTCACAAAGTTCAAGAAGGGTAAGCTTGTAGTTGCGCGCGCATCTCAGCTGCTATCTGTGCTACTTTCCCTGCCTCGTACATCGTTCTGACATTCCACGAACCAATCTGTAAAATCTTCCTGGTTGACAGAAGGGAAGTCGGTACATCATATTACTTTCTGTTGAAGTTCCTTCTTCTCCCAGGTCTATTTGTGTCTGTTGATTTATCGTCAATGTTTCTGTAGCGGTGTTGGTTTTTCCAGGATGGGGGTGCTAACCCCATGCCCAACCCTCCTCCTTTTCATCCGGGATTGGGACCGGCCATGACGGAGTTGTTACCGATATATTTATATAATAACAAGTTAAATGTTGATGTTGCATATCAAAGAGGCCGCCAAATGATGTGAACCGTCACAGGTAATGTACAAAATCTGAATAAAAAATCATTCTCTTTTACAGTTGAATATTCGAAGCACTAATCATTTTTTTCTCCATGTTCTTGTTATGTGTCTGAAAGTCTGAAATGTTTGTCTGTTGCGACAATGATCGAAACGCAACATAAATTAAGAAAAATTGAAATGACTGGTAAACTTAAAATGAATTCAAGACAATATGTGCCGAGAATATGTCCATTTAAATATTGGTGCGAATTGCATATTGTTCGCTCGAAAGAATTTGAGGACGAACTGTCTCTTATTTTACAAATAGCCAAAACTTGCCTGTAACATCAAATAATAGTTATGAATAAATTAATATATATATAATCAATTCTTAGTTACGTTTTGTTTTCTTATTTATAAAAGATTTAACTACTTGATAAACTATAGATTGCATATTCGCATAGAATCTAGGTATAGGACCACTAAATGTAGTAAAAAATCTAGGTGAAATTCAAAATAACCTATTGCAAATATTTGTGATTTTAAAATAAACGTACTTTTTCAATCAGTTAATCTGTTTTATAACTTAAGTGTTACTTATTTTCATAAATTACATAAATTATTTCATTACATTACTGTTTTGACAAAAAATATTTCCGCTGCGTCCGTATCGCCAATAAAATCTCCGTTGCGTCTTTTAATGATACCTCTTGTTCCCTGTCCGAATTTGGTTCCCGTCATTAGACTAGAACGATTGACTATAGACTGGCTCATTGGCACGTTATTTATTAGATAGATAAAATTAGATAATTATAAAAAGAATATGATATTCAAACATGGCACTATCACTTCAGTAAAACGTTTATTTTAATCCATTAAAGCTCTGTGACATGTTGTACATCAGAAAAGCTATTTTTATAAGAAAATTTGAAAACAACGTGATTTTGTTAAATCAAGAAAAAATGTACAAAATCAAGTCTAAAATTTTCCCCATTGTTATATGAACAAATGCATATCTACTAGACGGCGCGTGCACGCGTCGTCTAATCATATTGTTCATATAAAAAAAATTGCGTAAAATTATGTAAGTTTACACGAAAAAACTAGAGATGTGTCCATAGAACACGGGTGCCCCCACCGCGCCACTGTTCTGTCAATGTTATGACTCTAGGTCAAATATTTTTTTGAAAACTAAAAATCTTTTACTAAGTAAATGGCAAGAACTTTACAAATACTGAATAAATCCACAAGCAAATCCCAAGGTGCATAAGTACACATGCTGACCAACATTCTTGTAAACTTTCATGCCTACAAGTGAAATACGTTTTGAGCTAGGCATGAACAAGTTGAAAATTGTAAATTTATACTACTGTAAGTCAAGGGCAATAACTCTAACAAAACTGAAAAAATCCACATGCAAAGTCCCAGGTTCATAGCTTCACAGTGATGTGAATCATTATTCCTGTAATTTAGTGATGTTGATCATTATTCCTGTAAAGTTGGTTGATTCTAACTCAAGCACTCAAGGAACAAATAACAATATAATGAAACGGTTTTAACTAAGTCAAAGAAAATAAGCGAAACCATGGGTGTAAAACTAAATATGCTGAGCAAGCTTCCCGTAAAGTTTAATGACTCTATGTCAAATCCTTTTTGAGTTACATGCGACACAAGTTGAAAATTGCAAAAATGTTCTAAGTCAAGGGCAATAACTATAAAAATACTAAATAAATCCAGACGAAAATACCCAGGTGCACAACTACACATGCTGGTCAATATTCCTGTAAAGTTTCATGACTCTAGGTCAAATACTTTTTAAGTTGCGACACAAAAGAGAACGGACGGACGGACGTTCCAACCTTTTTGCTTTAGGGGTTATTTTCTTTGTTATTTTCTTTGTTTTCTTAAGGGCTACTAGCCCCTAAACCCTTTGATCACGGAATGAACCTATTGTTCTCTTTACTGTTATACAGCCCCTTAACCCAAAATGTTCGTCCTGACAGACGGACGGATGGACGGACAGACGGACAAGGGGAAATCTAAATTCCCGCCACTAAAGTGGGGGCACAAAAATGTATTACTAGTATATATTCATCATATTAGAAAAACCTCATAGTGTACGTACAAATGTGCTTGATGGAATAAAGATGTCCGTCCGTCTGTCTTAATATTCGTAATATTATCCGAAGACTGACGGAAAGGGCTGGCAATATTTAATTGACGCCCAAATATTGGCTAAGACGCTTAAAAAGCAGACGCTTGTGCAGACAATCATAGGATATATAGTAAGATTCAGAGTCAACTCGTGCCCTGGTCAACTCGTCCTCTCGTCAACTCGTCACCTTTTTGGTCAACTCGTCCCTTGGACAACTCGTCTCCTGGTCAACTCGTCCCCTATATTTCATTATTATTTGTTTTTCATATATTCCATAAATTATTATAGACTGTTAAAATATATTATAAAATGACTGAATTGGACATATTTTGACGCTTTTTGTATGCCAATATTTGGAGTTTTTTTTTTATCTAATAATAAGTATATATATGCATAATTCTGATTAAATTACATACAGAAAAAAAACAACACGAAGACAATCAATAGCAACAACATTTACTGTATAAAAACATGTTTCATATGCAATGATAAAATATCATATAGTATGTCTTTTTTGTCAATATTATGTCATATATATTCACTTTCACTTCATTGTTTTTTGCATGCACATATTTCATTGTCATTTTTTTGACATCTTACGACTCTTGGGGTTTATATAAAAATCCGATAGATTAAACATTAATTGAATGTTTGCAAACTTACCTGTCTTTGTAGTTTTACATCAAAGCTATATATGCACGTGCGCTTAGATAAAGATCATTAAAATTTTACGTAAAAAAAGACGTTATTTTATTAATATTTTGATATCAATCAAATTCATTATAAATTTTACATAAAAAGAACTATTTAAAGACATTGGTTAACAACATAATAGTGACGAATAGATCGAAAGTAGGGGACGAGTTGACAATATTAGGGACGAGTTGACTCTTTGAGGACGAGTTGACCAAAAGTAGGGGACGAGTTGACCAGACGAGTTGACCAGGGGACGAGTTGACCGGATTGCTATAGTAAAACGCAGTGTTTTCACAAAACGCAGACAATCATAGGATATATAGAAAAAAACACAGTGTTTTCACAAAACGCAGACGATATAGAACAAGAAGGTGTATATACACCCTTCAAAGCTGATTAGATTTGTTTTTGTTTTTTTCAGATCAAAATTTTAAGATATTAGAGATATTAATATTACACAATGAACATTGAAACATTTCATTTAATTTGTTATTTGCATTTAGTAGACCTGGAGAGACCCCGGGCCGGAAGCGACCGGACCGGAGAATAGTATATCCCTATAAATTGCCTAATATTTAGGTGCCGTACAAAAATTAAAATGTCTCGGCATTAACTTTTGAAATCACCCCTACAAAAATAATAGAATATTCTAGCCTTATATGTTTGTTTTTCATACGTTACCTTGAAAACCATCTCTTATTTTGTCTACAGGATTTATAAATATGGTTATACATAACAGTTATTTTTAAATATAAAATAAATATTTTTCACATCCAATTTTGCAGTTTTATCAAGTATTAAAATTGAAAGCTTCCACCCCTAGCAACGGACATTGACTCGTTCATTTACATCTGTCGCCATTTTGTTGTAACCGAGAGAAAATACCGCTTTGGATATTGTAATCAAATACACCGACAGCAGATTCTCATTATGGTAAATTGGTTTATGTTTTCCGATTATTTTAAATATATACGCCTTTTTATTTAGTTCAACGATTTAATAGCTTTTTTAAACAATTAACTAAGTCTAAATTGAATTGTTTAACTTCGACTTCAACACTGGCCGGGTTCTGTAACAATTATCGTTAATCGTCAAAAACTGACTTTTTAACTGTTCGAATATTCAGTTATAACGAAAACCTATACTTTACATGTACAGAATTTATTTTAGTTCGATTGTGTAGGAAGCTATTAGCTTATAAACACACTTTCGAATCCGTTCCTGGAACCAACCAGTAGCCCGGGTCTCCACGATACCGGTGTACATATTTTATACAAGGTGTTTTTCATATAAAAAATTATTGACTTGAAAAAAATAAGTAATAAACAACTTCATTAACATTTAATCCTCTTAAAATTACATTACAGAGTTCTGTTACTCTGAAATTCTCGCTCATTGCGAATGTAAACAATGGTCGACCATTTTATATGACGTAGTTAAACAGACTTCATGCTACCGGTGCACTGGTAAAAATGTTATTTATATGGAAAGCCATTGCAGTTTTAATGGCAAATATATCATTTTAGCATATTTGTATTCATATCTGAAAAAAAAACGCTTTAAAACAACATTAAAAACGTGTGTTTCAATAATTTACTGTTCATCTTTTATGACTCCCAAGGGATCTCTGTTTTAGAACCTTTTCCTCCCAATTACAGGTGTATATTATACCATGTGGCTGGATTCAGAAATTCCCCTTCACTTAATTTTAGTGTTGTTGTGATTGTCTGGTCCTTTTGTATCATTGAATCAATTTTATTTCTATATGATGAAGATAAAATATCAATATGGCACTTTACACAGGCTCCCTTAAAAGACTGAATGAAACTGACTTTTTAATTTTCATAAACTATTTTATATGCACTAATGGCTTTCCATAGATTAATTTTTTCCCGCCAAAAATGATGTCAAAAGGTCAAATGACATGTAATGGAGGCTGAATGACGTCAGCACCTGTCATTTTTTATTTTCATGGAAAAAAATGTGTTTTGTAGAGAGACTAATTTATGCAATGGAAAAATAGGATAGTAAAATAGAAATAAGGTAGGATATGTGAAATATTTCCTTCAGAAACTCATGAAAATGTTTAAAAACTTTGAAATAGCCAATATTACTGAGAGCATGCCAATATAAACACTCGGTAGGTGGTGTTGACAAAAATATCGCGAGATTTGTGAATATACCGGTACCGTGGAGTCACCGGTATCATGGGGTTCGAGTATACTGAGCAATGAGTGTAAAGTTTCTTGCTCAAGGAAACAACGACTTATTGATCGAGACAAACTTATTAAATATATATAGAGATTTGAATTGAGAGTTATGAATGTAAACTTTGGCACAGGTTATCGGCGTGGGACCAAGCCCTACCCCCAAGCACAGGTGCTTGAAACAAACTTTTTAAAGTTTTATATGGGCTATAACCTATAATAAGATATAAGGTCTCCAACAGAACACAAACATCATGCTGAACAAACAAGAACACTGCTGCAAGAAACAACCAGATCACGGAAACATACTTGTAGATAGTAAACACAGACATTAACATTTGAGCCACGTCATGGCAAAACCAACATAATGGGTTTGCGACCAGCATGGATCCAGACCACCCTGCGCATCTGTGCAGTCTGTTCAGGATCCATGCTGTTCGCTATCAGTTTCTGTACTTGTAATAGGGTTTGCAAGCGAACAGCATGGATCCTGATCAGACTGGGTGGATGCGCAGGCTGGTCTGGATCCATGCTGGTCGCAAATGCACTATGTTGGTTTTGTCGTGACGCAGCTCATTTATTATTGAAAGTTTTTCATCTATTTAGTTCTAATTTTCTTTGATTAAGAGTTTGATATTATTTTAAACAAAAAATGAAGGTGAAATAACTTGACATTTGGTAGTTGGGAGGAGAGAATATATTTCATAAATAGCAGCAAATTTGCCTTAATAACAAAAATATATAATTTCTTTTAAAATATAATTATCTTTTATAATAATCTTAACATTTAAAAAAAATAGCATGGTTTACTTGCTGAATTAGATGATTTTATGTGTGACCTACACAGCCACGTTTTTGTATTTACATTGTCATCTGCACTCTTCAGGGAGAGGCTGGGGTGCAAAATCCCAGATGATGTCATATCCTGTTGAAAACCTGTCAGTTTCAGTGAAACACAAACAAGAACTCAGTAAATTCATTTGAATTTTCAAGAAAAAATGAAAAATAGGAAAGTGTGGAACTGGGTCCTCACTGTGTCACTGTGGTACACTGACTCAATATTAAAGATGCTGTAACTCAATTTTTTTATTGTTTTAAATTATTAATATGATGCTCAAATTAACATTTATCAATACTGTAGGTTCCCAAAAGCTTTATTTATAAATTTATTACCAAATTAAACATTTCATGAAAGTAAAGGGAGGTTATAAAAAAATCTACTTTCTATAAAGTTTAAGTCAAATTTTACAATAAGAAATGAATGCATATATTTTAATGATTACATAATATTATTATAAAATTAATATGCACAAAAATTTGCTGTACATATTTTACATATTCTTTGATGTTTGAAAATGGTTTTATTTGCATAATTATGTTCACATATATAATTTCACTTAGTGTGGTTTACCACTTTGATCACAACATACAGGATCTTAAAATAATTTTATGACTTTATTGAGTAAAATATCATGTATAAAAGCATGTCATTGCATTTGGATGTATTGGGGTACTTGGAAATAGATACCAGTCTTTAGTCTTAGCTCTCTATATCCTGAATTACATATTTACGTATGAGAAAATGGTCTCTTCAACAGTTATAATTTATAATTGTTGAATTATTAAATTAAAAATAAGTCTGATATAACAACATTGTATTATTATAATGTGTTATATTTTATGTACGGGAACTACTTTTCTTCATACAAAATAATGTATAATTTCGGTACCCCCAGTGATTTTCCTACTTATATAACAGACCTCGAAAAAAGGCCTCTTCCCAATTGAAATTTTCTTTAAAATCATGCAGTTTTCCCAAAAATCTGAACTTAAACCTGCTTTTATACTTCCCAAATTAGTAATTTTTCCCAAAATCAAGAGGCTCAGGCCTCTACCCAATTAAGTGAGAAAAATCACAGAGGTCCCCATATCAGGCCTTATATTATAGTAAGGCTTATAATTCTATGTTGAGAACATAATGAAATTTCCATAATTTGTGTAACAAGCCCCAATATTGATGTGTAACAATCATTTTTTTTGGTGAGTAAGAGTAATAAAAAACAATTTTTAAGTAAACTACGATTTTTGTACGGGAACTATTCGCATGCCAGTAGGCGTATTTTCAGTTCCTATGATATTCAGGTTCTATGATATCACGGTATTTACATTATAACAGCTGCTAGTAACTAATACTATAGGGTGATACTGAAACTAATACTATACCAAAAATTGCCTAAAAGTGTCATTGGCGTCCGAGCCGAAGCGCATTATGCCCCTTATGAAATGAAATCAGATTTATCATATGTACAATGAATAGCGAAATGATGAATTTCGCAATGCAAACATATTCAAATGAAATTATCTTATCCGTGAATTAATCTTTGGGGTGTTTTTTTTTTAGTTATAATGTATTGCTGTACCTATAAATAGAATGATGACATAATGGGACTGAAAATATTTTTTCCAGATGAATGTACCATTTTCCTACCAAAGACAAATAATATCTGTCAAAAGGAAAAGGTTACGCATGTAATAGTGTAAAAATGTATTTTTGTGTCAATGGTGAACTTGACCTTCAAGGATTCCTATTATTTAGAGTTTCCTCATTTCTGAAAAAAAGCCCTTCTTAAATGGCAAAGTTTTAGTTCAGATAAATGTCCACAACTCATAAACCACACGGTGAGTTTTGTTTAAATTTGGCATACAGATGACAATATGACAATTAAGGCATATAACTGTCCTATGTTGTCAATTTTACAGTTCCTGATAGTGCCCATTAGGAGTGTTCTACCTTAAAGGAGAAATGGGTCACCCCCCCCCCCCAGGACCTGGATCTGCCTCGAGTATAATGATCTCCTTTTGCAATATTTCAGGCAATGATGCGTAGAGCTCCGCTACAAACGGTGGCACAGAGGGAGCGGCAGTTAGAGAATTCCCGCAGGCAGGAAAACGTTCGAGAGGAGACCGTTCGTAACTTGGCTCGGGAAAAAATGCTCGAGTCGAACATGAATCGTGAAGAGCGACTTGATAGTAAACGGTTTCTAAGGACACAAATGCAGGAACATAAAGAGCGGGAAATGGGAGAAACCATTCTTAAGGTAATTTAATTTTTTTGAGTTTTTTAAACTTTATTCGAATCACAATGCACTCACTTTAATGAGTGACCAAATTCTGCCAGAAGGTAAATTTGGATTTGGAATGGGGCCTTAGATTAGTCTATTGTGACAGTGCGAAAATGGCCTTCGACTGCTCTGGTGACTGGGCAGATTTATGACCTTGGACTGCTCTGTGACAGGGCGAAAATGACCTATGGCCTGGCATTGCTACATTGTTAGTGCCACTTTCATATATTCAAGATCTTTAAAAAAAGAGTAATCATGGAAGCTTTAATAGTAACAACATGACAAGAAAATCAGAGACTCTGTTTGATTGACTCTGTACATGAAGTAGGACAAATATTACTCAAGTTAAGACTCGAGTTAAGACCCATGTGAAGACATAAGCTAAGACTCAAGTTAAAACCCATGTGAAGACATAAGCTAAGACCCAAGTTAAGACAAAAGCTAAGACCCATGTGAAGACCAAAGTTAAGACCCAAGTTAAGACAAAAGCTAAGTCCTAAGTTAAGACTCAAGTTAAGACCCAAGTTAAGAACCGAGTTAAGACAAAAGCTAAGACCCAAGTTAAGACAAGATACAAGATACAAGAAAATTTATTTTACGTCGGATACATATAAACAGAAAACATTAGCTCATGAGCTATTTTCCGACAAACAATAGTATATGAACTAAACAAAAGTAAAGCAGCTAAAAAGAAAATATAAGCATAAGCACAATTAAGTACATGGAATTAAGATATTAAAGCAACTAAAAATTATAAGCATAAGCACATCTAAATACATGGATTTAAGTTATTATAGCACCATGCATGCTTAAAAGTTACAATAATTACAAGCAAGATAAAACAAATAACAGATATATATAAATAATGTACATTCCTGTAAAAGAGTTATATATTAGTTAAAGACAGACATGTATAAAAATAAGCATAAGCACATCTAAGAATATGAAATTAAGAAATAAAAATTTAAGATAAGTTAAAAACTACAAAAGTTACAAGAAAAAGAGTACAAAAATAAGATATACATATACACCTATGTACATACAGTCTAACTTGCCCATGCGACCACGTGTATTAAGCGACTTTTGTCTTAAACGACCACTTTAAATTCCCCCCGATCATTTTCTCTCTATATCTTTAATGTATTAAGCGACTTTTGCTCAACGCGACCAGCGACCGCTAATTAGTCACCTAATTGACATCAATCTTTTCATTAAACGACCACTTTTACCTGTCAAGTAATTGTGTTTTTAGAGAACGCCACCTCGTTATGTCACAAGTGTCAGCAATCAAAACACAACAATAAACGTGTGAAAAACTCTATTTCCCATACCGTTTTAGCGTATGCAAATGAAGTTAAGTATACGCGTGACGTGTATTATCCAATAATATCGGATAAACAGTGCAACGCTCCGCCCATACTGAGATGGTGTATACGCTTCGCTTGTTGACATTTAGACTGCATTGAATTGACCTTGAACTTGATTAGCCATTAAATTAATCGTAACAAATAGATGTAGTTTGTTTATTTCAAATGAAAAAATGCACAACAGAAAACATCTTCACTAATAGGGTTTTCGTGTTGGAGACAAGGAAAAACAACGGAGTAGTTAAAAAATTCTGGAAAAAATGTCAAACATGTACGTAATGGATCAAAACTGTTTTGTCAATAAATATCAGAACGTTATTTTTACATTTGCATCCGTTTAGATTATCGGAGCGTACTTATTATTCAACATTTATATAAAAATGAAGTTGAAAAACAATCCCATCGAATAAAAAAGATGTCATTTATAAATTTTGACTTTTATATCATGCTGACTGTCTTAAGAGACCGTTTCATTAAGCGACCGTTTTTGGTGGTTCCCTTGCCCGGTCGCTTAATACACGTTTGACTGTACCTGTAAAAGAAATATAATAGATATATATAAAAAAAAAAAAAGACATACAAAGTAAAAAAAACATAAAGCAAAACAATGAAATTACAAGGACTATCACAGACAAAAACTAAGACCCGAGTTAAGACTCAGTTAAGACTCAAGTTAAGACAAAAGCTAAGACCCAAGTTAAGACAAAAGCTAAGACCCAAGTTAAGATTCAAGTTAAGACCCGAGTTAAGACTCAAGTTAAGACAAAAGCTAAGACCCAAGTTAAGATTCAAGTTAAGACCCGAGTTAAGACTCAAGTTAAGACCAAAGTTAAGACAAAAGCTAAGACCCAAGTTAAGACTCAAGTTAAGACCCGAGTTAAGACTCAAGTTAAGACAAAAGCTAAGACCCAAGTTAAGACTCAAGTTAAGACCCGAGTTAAGACTCAAGTTACTGTATTTACTCACTTGTTAAGGCCCATTAAAAAAATAATTTTAAAACATATTTTTTCTTTAAAGGCCATTTCTTATTAATTTTTTTAAAAAGGCCATTTTTTTTCTTTAAAGGCCCATTTTTTTTTTAAACATATTTGTTTTATTTTTTCTTTATTAAAGACCCATTTCTTTTTTTTTTTTTTTTTTTTTTTGAAAAGCATAATTTTTATTTCTTATTAAAGGCCCAAAGGGACAGGATACAACGTGAAGAACAAATGGCTCAAGAGGAGAGGTTGGCACAAGAACTCGAGCGTAGGAAGCTGGACGGGATTAGGGACGAAAAAATGAGGCAACAAATTAGAGAGACAAGGTACAATTGTTGCAGGTTTTCTCTCTACTTTTGGAATGGTGCTGGTACCGTACCAGAGACTGATTGGGGGGAAAAAATGCGTAATTTTGAAATTGGGGAAATTTTTTTTATGCATTTTTCAGCTACAAATAACATTAGTCATCATGAATAAAGATAGCTAACAGCTTCCATTGTCCAGGTAGAACTATTGAGTGGTGATTTATATGAATATTTTGAATTTAAATGATTTCAGAGAAATCACTTGGCCTTGTGGGAATTTTGAACAGCCATTTTGAAAATCAAAACATTAGAAATTGGGAATTTTAATGTATATTTTCTATTGGGAACAGTACCGTTTTATGATTCAAATGGTGTTTTCCGTTTCCTGTTTTGTAGTTAAATACTGCATGTAGCCCTTAAAAACTGCACGCCCCCAGATGAGCCAAAATATTTCAAGAAATTCAAACTTCAAACAAAATTTAATGTACCAAGACTTTAATAAAAGTAAAAAGATTCCAAGATTCAAGTAATAATTTACATGTTATAATTATACGATAAATAAATGATTTTGCAGTATTAATCTGCATACTACTGTTCAAGGACTAATGCAGTTACCGTAATATGGCTATTTTTGTGTTGCCTGCTACAAGGCATCATCCAAATAGGGGTAGAGAGCCATCTAACTGTAAACAGAACAAAAGAGAACAATAGAGTTCATTCCGTAACAATAGAGGAAGGGGTCAATGGCCCTCTATTATAATGACAATAGAAATGGCCCTGTATCTCATTTCGGTAGCATGTCCGTCTGTCCGTCCATCTGTCTGTCACAAAATTTGTCTGGACTACTCCTCTAAAACTACTGGTTCAAATACGTCCGAGGTTTACAGGAATACAGTGTTTTTTTTTACTTTATATAACTACTACCTGAAAACGTTACTGTTCCCAATACAAAATAGACATTAAAATTCCCAATTTCAAATGTTTAAATTCCCAAAATGGTTGTTCAAAATGTCCACAAGGCCAAGTGATTTCTCTGAAATCATTTAAATCGAACATACTTCAATTAAATCACCACACAGTAGTTCTACCTGGACAGTGAAGGCTGTTTGTTAGCTTGTATCTTTATTCATGATGACTAATCTTATTTGTAGCTGAAAAAAATACATAAAAAAATTTCCCAATTCAAGTCAAAATAATGCATTTTTTCCCAATTAATCTGGTACTGGCACCATTCCAAAAGTAGAGAAAAAAGCGCTGGAATAATCAGTACTATGTGTAGTCGTGCATATTGTTGACATTTTATGAAATCATGTAAACTTGACCTTGCTAAAGAAGTAAAAATTAATTTGTTTCTTAGGCATTATGTGCCCCTTAAAGCTTTAATGGAAGAAGTAATCCATTTAGTTTATACAGAATTTGTAGTAATAAATAGAATATTATAGTTCTGCAAGTTGAATACTGAATTATTTATTGAACTTGCCAGGGGCTCGCACATTATAACTTTATTTAACTCGTTCAATAAATTCAGTATTGAACTAACACTCATTCAATGTCGTCTATTTACTTTAAAGCAAACACAGAAAGGTATCATATGAGCCGTGTCATGACAAAAACAACATAATGGGTTTGCCACCAGCATGGATCCAGACCAGCCTGGGCACCCGCGCAGTCTGATCAGGATCCATGCTGTTCGCTTACCAACCCTATTTTAAGTAGAGAAACTGATAGCAAACAGTAATCTCAAAAAGCGTGACTCCGAGTAGATTATAAATTTCTCGGGTGTAAAAGAGTGACTCCGAGACAAAAACGAGTGACAATATTGTCCGCGAGACTCCGTGAATCTCCGCGTCAAAAAGAGTGACTCCGAGTTAGAAATATTCTTTTCTGACATGTTACGCCGTATATTTGAAATTCTTAAATTGATAGTTATGATTAGTAATTGAATAAATAAGAATTCCCCTTACGAAAAAGACATTATTGCACTAAGGTGACAGATTGTACGATATATCTATTACCTAATGATCAGTAAATCTTGGTAACTTACAGTTTAGAGTTGCGGGAGCTAGAGGCGAAACTGAAGTCGGCCTACATGAATAAAGAACGCACTGCGCAGATGGCAGAGAAAGAAGCGGTGAAATTTGACATTATGGTAAGGTCACTGTTGTAGTTTTAGAAACTGTATACATGTAGAGCTGTCATTGACTATTGCGATATTGATTTAATAATCATCGATATTCATCGTCCGATGAAATATAGATACCAGTGTCTATTTTAGGAGGATGGATTTGGGGGGAGGGGGGATTCACCCATCTTTTTTAAAATTCGCACCTATTTTTTCAGAGGCATGGGGGAAAATTTAACAAAGAGAAAGAAGGAAAGAAATCAACAAATGTGATAATTTCTCATTTTTTGATAAAAAATCCCCCCCGCCCCCCTTGTTTTTCAGATCCTAGAATAGACACTGAGATATAATCTAAAAATTTATTCATTTCTGTTTTGTGAATATACCTGTCTATATTGCCTTAGAAGAGAATTCATTCTTTTACAGTTTTTTTGGGGGGGCTAACTTGAACTTTAAACTACGTTTTCAAATGTCAGTGACAAAAATAACAGAAAAAAAGCAAACTTTCTGTTAGTTTGTAGTATGATTTTTTTTTCTGTCGATCAAAAATCAATACACATTTTAGAAAATAATTTTGACTTATTACTTAAATGTCCAGAAATTACTCAAAATTCACCCAAAAGACATGCAAAATCATATGATATTTCTTAGCAGTGATAACAAGCATTTAAACAGGTATTAAAAAGAATTACAGACAAGTAAATCTACTAACAAAGTGAGTATTTATCGATATATATCCGATATATATATATATATATCCATATATCGGTCTATATCGGATATTTCAGTTAATTATCGATATATATAGGTGTATAACATCGTTGATTTGCTATGCACTGAATCAATGACAGCTCTATATACGAGCCGCGACATGACAAAACCAACATAGTGGGTTTGCGACCAGCATCCGCGCAGTCTGATCAGGATCCATGCTGTTCGCTATCAGTTTCTCTACTTGTTATAGAGTTTGTAAGCGAACAGCATGGATCCTGATCAGACTGCGCGGATGCGCAGGCTGGTCTGGATCCATGCTGGTCGCAAACGCACTATGTTGGTTTTGTCATGACGCGGCTCATATGTGTATAATTATTGGTAAAAGAAGCAGTATATTTTTATTAGGAACTAGAAAACAATTTTTGAGTGCATTATAGTTACAAAGCATTTGAACGGTAATCTATGCATTGATATTCTACAAGGCATTAAAAAAAACATTATTTCATGCTTTCCAGTGTTTTATTGTAATATATCAGATGATTATATTCTGATAAACCACTAGTGAAATTTATAAAATATAATTTTCACTGTAGCCGGACTATATCTGAATGCGGATGAACAGATAATCATAACTAGATGGAATAACAGGCAGAAATAAATGCCGTCATACGTAAATTTTGCTTCTTTAGGAAAAGAAAGTCCATGTCATCATACATCATGTTAGAAATTTAACAAAATTAGAGAAATTTAACGGAACTAGATTTCAAAACTGATGATGTGACGTCATGATATTATGACGTCACAAAGGAGATGCGAGACGTTACGCGGCAAAATCAGTAAAAAATAGCTTAAAATCACTTAAAAAGCATAAAATAAAAAGAAAATTTATTTGTTTTACATATAAGATTGAAATATATTTCATTCGTGAACACCAGCTATTATATTTTCACTCGTGGCTACGCCACTCGTGAAAATATTGCATCTGGTGTTCACTCAGTGAAATTATATTTCAATCTTACATGCAAAACAAACAAATATCCTCTATATATTGCACGGCCGTGCATATATTTTGATGTTACGTCATTCGCGCTATACAAACAATATATATAGTGTACATGTTAGCGTTAAACTTTGGATGCGTCAATGAAAAAATGTTTCTTTTTCACTTGAAACAGTCTTTATTTTGTGAATGTGTAGTAAATAGAATATCATATTCATCGTGTAAGTTCATTTCTGAATTTATTGAACTTGTTGAATAAAATTAGAGGCTTGTATAATATAATTTTATTCAACTTATTCCATAAATTCAGTATTGAACCTACACTCATTCAACAATTAGAAACTCTGTATCCACGGTGCATTACGTTCTTATTGTTGATAAATGTAAACAAATTAAATTTCCTAATTATACATGATTATATACATGATTAGTAATAGACAGGTTATATGGCCCTATATATACGGCTTTTTGAGGCTTGAAACTTGGGTTATATTGCAAATAACCGTTTATATATGGCATATAACCTATCAAGAACCTTTTTGAGGCTTGAAACTTGGGTTATATTGCAAATAACCGTTTATATATGGCATATAACCTACCAAGAACTTTTGTAGCTATTTTATAATACAGCAAACTTCCTCTATTAGACAACAAAATAAAGTAACTTCTTAAATAGAAATCAGCCGTATATATAGCTTACATAAACCTCACGATTATCCAATGAAAAGCAACGTTACCTCACGATTATCCAATGAAAAGCACCGTTACCTCACGATTATCCAATGAAAAGCACCGTTACAAACCTGCAGTTTTATAAACATAACAGAATACTTGACACACATATCAAAAATAACCTTGCTATTTTATCTTGGAACAGAAACGGGACGCAGAAATTGCGCGGGAAATGATGGAAGAGCATAACCGAGCGGAGGCCGCGGAGCGTCAGCGGGAAATGGAACGCTATAAAGAGAGCATACGATACCAGCAGGAGCTCGAACGCCAGCTCGAGGAGCAGGAAGAAAAGAAACAACAGGCGTACGAGGAATTCCTGAAAGAGAAGCTCATGATCGACGAAATTGTGCGGAAGATTTACGAAGAAGATCAGAGGTTCGTTGTTCCTCCTCCTCCTCGTCCTCGTCCTCATTTTATTCAAAGGTTGCGGAGGGGGCGTCCGTGGTTGAGTGGTTAAGGTCGTTGACTTCAAACCACTTGCCCTTCGCCGCATTTGGGTTCGAATCCCGGCAGGGACTTTTGAATTCTTTCATATGAGGAAGCTATTGCTATCCGGCTAGCTTACGGAACGTCGGTGGTTCTACTCAGGTGCCCGTTCGTGCAAAATTCTTATTGTATCCGCTTATATGATAATTTTAATTAGACAGGACAGGGATCTATGCATAATATGGTTTTTTTATTTACAAAAATGGGAGAAAAAATTTGATGTAAATTGAAAAAAAAATTGGGGTGGGGCCGGGGTTGCATGATTTAAAGGAAATTTTCTTTTGGGAAGCCCTGCTATAGGAGTAAAAAACAAACCTGTATGCCATTTCTATAGGTATTTTGACATGACAATTCATAAAATAAATTTTCAAGATAAATGTTCCATTTTATGTTAGTCTAGACCAATCAGTTGTGTGCAGATTTTCAGATAATTTATTCACTTATTCTGTTTTTCCAGAATAATTATTCTGATTGCAAAAACTGACCAAAAAATTGAAATGCTACGGTTTTTCATGATGTTAAGCAATTCTTATGAACAATTTTTTATGAAAGCAGTATCATTATTTTTCTGTATATCCATAACCGTTTGAGAAATTTTTTACATCCTATTAGGCATTTAAGGGGTTTATAGATGCAGGATCTTGCATTCAGTAAATCCATGTGCAAATATCCATTTTCTTTAGTATATTACGCTGAATAAAGTTTTTCTTTCAATTTTTTTTTTCATTTTTTGGGCGTTCTTTAGGGATCACGTTTTTCTTTATTTAATGAATGAAACTTGATTTCAGAGAGCGGGAATTAGCATTACAGAAGCAGAAGGCCACGCAGCAATTCATCTCGGACTTCAAACAGGCTCGCGACCAGTGGAAAGAAATCGAGCGACAGAGAATGGAGGAGGAAAACAGAAAAATCATGGAATTTGCTCGCGTTCAGCAAGAGAGGGAGGCAGACAGAATGTCCAAGAAAAAAGAAAAAGAACAAGGCATGGCTAAAGTCCAACAAGCGGTTAGTAATTAACGTTAAAAATTTAAATTTAAATTTTAACATCGGCAAAAGATAACGACTGATAACATTGCTTATCGATCGCCTTAGTGCAAAAACGGATAAGTCCTTCTAAATTTGATAGCAGTTACTTAGTTATTGCACTAAGGCTACTTTCTTTTTCAAAAAATTGAGATATTGAATTCTTTATGAAATTCCGTTCATATCATTACTTTATCGCCTTAGTGCAAAAATGGAATAAGTCCTTCTAAATTTAATAGCAGTTAATCAGTTATTGCACTAAGGTGATGACTTTCATTTTTTTTTTTTAATTGACATATTGAATTCTTTAAAAAAATTCAATTCATAACATAACTAAGTATTACTTTTTTTTTAATTGACATATTGATTTTCTGAATGAAATTCAATTCAACAGCTCCTGAAATAAATAAATAATTTTTTTTTTTGAAATTTGCTTATTGTATTCGTTCATCATTTATCTATCTTTGCATATATTTCTGTTTAAAGTGCCCCAGCTCATTTATGTAAGACATTCAAATGTTATGTTTTTAGGCTTTTAAACCTCAGTGGAGTGGAGTCCCTTTAAAGTATGTTTTTATCCATTAAGAAATGATTTCTTGTGTGCGTCGTTTGCTTTTAGCCTTAAAAGCAAAAAAAATAGTTGTAATCGGGGAATTCGGCAAATGTGGGTTTTCCCAAGCTAATCTTCAAGTAGGAACAAACTTTTACCGTTATAGCTTCACGATGAACTGCCGGTCATGGATATCCTCTTATATATTTTTTCTGTTTTTTTTTTAACTTACAATTTTTAAAACTTCTTTAATTTGGTGTATTTGCTGAAGAGACAATGACTTAAGTGTGACCTTGACCTTGATCTAAGAAAGGTCAAACCTGCGCTGTGTTCATCGCCTCATTATGGTTATTAAATTAATGATATATATGACATTTTAACAGTTGGCGTAGGAGATTAATAATATATCTGATATTTTCACAGTTGGCGTAGGAGATAAATGATATATATGATATTTTAACAGTTTGCGGAGAAGATAAATGATATATATTTGATATTTTAACAGTTGGCATAGGAGATTAATGATATATTTGATATTTTCACAGTTGGCAGAGGAGATATCAAGACAAGAGGGTGAAAGAGAGGAGATGGAACGTGTTAGAATGGAGCTTCATCTAGAAGAACAAGAAGAACGTGATCGACAGAAGGAAAGGGTAAGTCCCTCGTAAATTGTTTTATTCTATTTTAAAAGATGTTTTTCGGGAGTCTTCATATATAGAAGAATGTTTTTGAGTTTGAACTTGGGTACTGAAGTCCCTCGTTAATTATTTTATTCTATTTTAAAAGATGTTTTTCGGGAGTCTTCATATAGAAGATTGTTTTTGAGTTTAAACTTGGTTACTGAAGTTCCTCATGAATTGTTTTCTTTACTTTGAAAGACTTTTTTTCTGGAGTTTTCATATAGGCAAAATTAAAACTGTTCAAATTAAAACTGTTCAATAGAATTTCTTTAAACTTGGTAAGTTCCTCGTGGATTGTTTTATTTTCTTTTATTTTCTCTTTAAGAGTCTTCATATAGGCAAAATTACTTGAATGAAAGCTTATATCACTTTTGGGGTTAGTTGTTTTATTAATTGTTATGATTACACCTGGTTGAATAGCCGCGTTGATCAAATTGATTAATTTGTATGTATAAACTGGGCTGAAAAGTGGGTTAATTGATTGACTAATGGTTATATCAGATTAATTGATTGACTAATGGTTATATCAGATTAATTGATTGACTGATTGTTATATCAGATTGAAAAGTGGATTGATTGACTTATGGTTATATCAGATTGAAAAGTGGATAAATTGATTGACTTATTGTTATATCAGATTAATTGATTGACTAATGGTTATATCAGATTAATTGATTGACTGATTGTTATATCAGATTGAAAAGTGGATTGATTGACTAATGGTTATATCAGATTGAAAAGTGGATTAATTGATTGACTAATTGTTATATCAGATTAATTGATTGACTAATTGTTATATCAGATTGATTTACTAATTGTTATATCAGATTGATTGACTTATTGTTATATCAGATTAATTGATTTACTAATTGTTTATACCAGGATCTGATGGAGAGGCGTATACGACAGAGATTAGAGTTACAGGAACAACACGCACAACAGATGCACTTCAAACAGTTAAGACAGCATGCCGAGCAGGAAGAAGAAGAACAATTTAGAAAACAGGTATGTTTAAGAAGCATTTGAGCCGCGTCATGACAAAACCAACATAATGGGTTTGCGACAAGTATGGATCCAGACCAGCCTGCGCATCCTCGCAGTCTGATCAGGATCCATGCTGTTTGCTTACTAACCATATTACATGTAGAGAAACGGATAGCAAACAGCATGGATCCTGATTAGACTGCAGATGCGCAGGCTGGTCGGGATCCATGCTGGTCACAAACACACTATGTTGGTTTTGTCGTGATGCGGCTCATTTATTGGACTGTCTGACCCATAATTTATGAGAACCTGTACAGTCATTTTGGATATTTATATGCGTTGCCAAAATTATGTAAAATCAGCATTTTTGGTCTTATTGGTGAGTTTGAATATTAGTCAAATTCTACTATTTAGATAAATTAATGTATTATATTCATTATATTAGACAAACCTCATATTGTATGTACAAATGTGCTTAAGTGAATAAAGATATCTGTCTGTCTGTCTGTCTATATCTGTCTTTCAGTTTTATTAGCTCGACTATTCGATAAGAATAAGAAGAGCTATTGCAGTCACCCGAGCGTCGGCGTTGGCGTAACCACTTATGTTAAAGTTTTTGTAATAGTTCAAATATTTTCAAAGTCCATTGACATATGGCTTTGAAACTTTGCACACTTGTTCACCATCATGACCCCAACCTGTAGACAGGAGGAGGTAACTCTATCAAGCATTTTGACAGAATTATGCCCCTTTTTCGACTTAGAATTTACGTTAAAGTTTTTGTAATAGTTCAAATGTTTTCAAAGTCCATTGACATGTGGCTTTGAAACTTTGCACACTTGTTCACCATCATGACCCCAACCTGTAGACAGGAGGAGGTAACTCTATCAAGCATTTTGACAGAATTATGCCCCTTTTTCGACTTAGAATTTACGTTAAAGTTTTTGTAATAGTTCAAATATTTTCAAAGTCCATTGACATATGGCTTTGAAACTTTGCACACTTGTTCACCATCATGACCCCAACCTGTAGACAGGAGGAGGTAACTCTATCAAGCATTTTGACAGAATTATGCCCCTTTTTCGACTTAGAATTTACGTTAAAGTTTTTGTAATAGTTTAAATGTTTTCAAAGTCCATAGACATATGGCTTTGAAACTTTGCACACTTGTTCACCATCATGACCCCAACCTGTAGACAGGAGGAGGTAACTCTATTAAGCATTTTGACAGAATTATGCCCCTTTTTCGACTTAGAATTTACGTTAAAGTTTTTGTAATAGTTCAAATATTTTCAAAGTCCATTGACATATGGCTTTGAAACTTTGCACACTTGTTCAACATCATGACCCCAACCTGTAAACAGGAGGAGGTAACTCTATCAAGCATTTTGACAGAATTATGCCCCTTTTTCGACTTAGAATTTACGTTAAAATTTTTGTAATAGTTCAAATGTTTTCAAAGTCCATTGACATATGGCTTTGAAACTTTGCACACTTGTTCACCATCATGACCCCAACCTGTAAACAGGAGGAGGTAACTGTATCAGGCATTTTTTTTTACTATCAAGCACTAAGAATAGTCGAGCGTTGCTGTCCTACCGACAGCTCTTGTTAATTTTACTGTTACTGAATAGACATTTATTGTTCACATTAATCTTTTACTTACCGAATTTAATGCCATGTGAAAATTTATGATTTTACAGTAAATGTTTTTTGTTTTTTTGTTCTTCAGTTTAGGTTTGTTTATAGGCCTTAAGTATCCTTCTTTATGCTTCTCTAATATTACAGCATACAGTTGCATTTTAAATGTATCACACATTTCTTGATTGATTTTTGTGTCGCCTTGAAAAGGTGACATATAGGGGTTACTTTTGTTGGCGGCGTCGTTGTCGGCGTCCCCTAAAGCTTGTCCGGAGCATAACTCAGTCACTATAAGTCTGATTGACTTCAAACTGGGTATGCATGCTTCTTTCAATAACCCAAATTGCAGTGCACAAGGACCGGTACTCTGCAGTTCTTATTTTTTGAGTTATTGCCCTTTGTTCATTTTCATACTTTAATTTTGTCCGAGCCATTTCTCTTCAACTAAAAAAGCTATGGACTTGAAACTTCATAGGATGATAGATCTCATTAAGAAGAAGTGCAGTGCACAAGAACCGGTACTCTGCACTTCCTTAATTTTTGAGTTATTGCCCTTTGTTAATTTTCATACTTTATTTTTGTCCGGGCCATTTCTCCTAATGTATAAAAGCCATTGACTTGAAACTTCATAGGATGATAGGTCTCATTAAGAAGAAGTGCAGTGCACAAGAACAGGTACTCTGCATTTCTCATTTTTTGAGTTATTGCCCTTTGTTTATTTTCATACTTTAATTTTGTCCGGGCCATTTCTCCGTAAGTATAAAAGCTATGGACTTGAAACTTCATAGGATGATAGATCTCATTAAGAAGAAGTGCAGTGCACAAGAACCGGTACTCTGCACTTCCTTAATTTTTGAGTTATTGCCCTTTGTTAATTTTCATACTTTATTTTTGTCCGGGCCATTTCTCCTAATGTATAAAAGCCATGGACTTGAAACTTCATAGGATGATAGATTTCATTAAGAAGAAGTACAGTGCACAAGAATCGGTACTCTGCATTTCTTAATTTTTGAGTTATGGCCCTTTGTTAATTTTCATACTTTATTTTTGTCCAGGCCATTCCTCTGAAAGTATAACAGTTATGGACTTGAAACTTCATAGGATGATAGATCTTATTAAGAAAAAGTGCAGTGCATAAGAACTGATACTCTGCATTTCTTATTTTTTGAGTTATTGCCCTTTGTTGATTTTCTTACTTTATTTTTGTCATGGTCATTTCTCCTCAAGTATGAAAGCTATGGACTTGAAACATCATAGAATTGTAGATCTTATTGATAAGAAGTACAGTGCACAGAAACTGCTGCTCTGCACTTATTATTTTTTTAGTTATAGCCCTTTGTTATTTTTCATATTTCATTTTTGTCCTGGCCATTTCTCCTAAACTACATTGTTCACAAGGCGACACATCCGACTCTAGTTTATTCAGGTTTATACCCGCATTTTGTAAGTTAGTTTATTGACAGTTATTATGAAATTTATTGATCAATAATTATGATTGATCTTTATTCAGAGGAGGTCTTTAATACAAGTTTGACTGTATGAAGATCTTTATTCAGAAGAGGTCTTTGATACAAGTTTGACTGTATTTCATAAAGACATTATTTTGCTTTTGCTGATAGTACATCAAATAACAAATGACCCACGCCGTTACAAAACCAACATAATGGGTTTGCGACCAGCATGGATCAAGACCAGCCTGCGCATCCGCACAGTCTGATCAGGATCCATGCTGTTCGCTATCAGTTTCTCTACTTGTTATAGGGTTGTAAGCGAACAGCATGGATCTTGATCAGACTGCGCGGATGCTCAGCCTGGTCTGGATCCATGCTGGTCGCAAACCCATTATGTTGGTTTTGTCATGGCGTGGCTCAAATGGATTTAACTCACTACAGTGTTGGAGCAGTACCTATAGACACTTGCTGAAATCATGATGACAAAATAGACAAATATCGCTGTTTTAGCCAATTCTTAGATCTTTTCATTCTGAATCGTATATAAATTAGTGATAGGAGATGAATTAGATGTTATGAAGTTCATTTCGTTGAGTGAAAAGGCGAGATTTTAACATTCAGTGATTCAAGTAACTTGTCTGGTATATACCGGAATACAGTAATAAGTGTGGTGCTCAAAAACTTATTTTTTAAGTGTCCATAATAACAAAGTGCATCACCAAATGTTTTAACCAGCTGATGTTATTTTCTTCGTATGATTTTGTTGATATGTACAAGGACATTTAATAAATTGCATCGTTACAATGTTTTAAACCTTCAGATGATGGCCAAGTTTGCCGAGGACGACAGAATAGAACAAATGAACGCACAGAAACGTCGCATGAAGCAGTTAGAGCACAAACATGCCGTCGAAAACCTTATAGAGGACAGGCGTGCACAATTCGCTGCGGATAGAGAGCGCGAGTTGGACGAACGTAGGGAGGCGGAGCGCATGGAGGCATTCAGACGGCAGATTATCGAAGAGGAGAGACAGAAATTATTACAAGAGCACGCTATGAGGCTTCTAGGATATCTACCTAAGGTAACAAAAAAAACAAACAAAAAATATATATATAAAAGAAAAAAAAAATTTTTCCTAAACTTTGTACAATTATTACAATGAGGCTACTAGGATATCTACCTAAGGTAACAAAAAAAAAATTTTTTTTAAAAATATATAAAAAAAATATATAATTTTATATAAAAAAATTAAAATTGTAACCTTAACTTCGTACAATTATTACAAGAGCATGCTATTAGGCTTCTAGGATATCTACCAAAGGTAACAAACAAAAAATAAAAATTTATATATATATATATATATATATATATTAATTTTTCCTTTACTTCCTACAATTATTAACAATTAACAAAGGTAATAAAAAAAAAAAATTAAATTTTCTCCTTAACTTCGTACATTTATTACAAGAGCATGCTATTAGGCTTCTAGGAAAGTTTTCAGGATTATTCCTGAAATTCAGGATTTTGAAACTCCTGAAAGCCTCCTGTTTCCTATGTAAAACTAAAGAAAAACTGCTAAATTCATGATTTTCAGGATTTTTAAAATTTCCAACTTTCACCCATGAAAAAAAAAATTTTTATAAAAAATTTAAAAAAAATATTGAATTTTTTCCTTAACATCGTAGCTTTTTTTTAAATTTTGCCTGCTTTGATATTTTGCCTGCTTTTTAATTTTTGTCTTTTGGAGACCACATCGTCACCTAAGTGCAGTAACTGGTTAACTCCGTATACATTTCAATAAGACTTGAACCCATTACTGCACTAAGGTGACCCATATGCCAATTTTCATGGAATGGCACTGACATGTCACATTAAACATGCCTATGAGGCTTTTAGGATAATTACCAAAGATAAAGAAATGTGGCGAAAAAAAAACAACATTTATAATTTTCCTAAACAACAAGTCTTTGCACTTGTTTAAATATCTACAGAAAGTAAAAAAAAAGAAAGAAATATCTACAGAAAGTAAAAAAAAAAAAAAGCCACAAGAAATCACACTTTTACTCTTATGATCAAATAAATACGTATGACACGCTCTCTTGCCAGACATGTTCAATTCAAAATTGTGTTGTGAATTTCCTTTCTAAATTTACAACAGAAATATCACTACAAAGGCACATGGGCACAACTAAAAAAAAAACACACACACAAAAAAAGGCCTGATTAGATTAGTATAATTTTAGACAATGGTTAAATGACTGTTAAATGAAACAAGGTGAAGTGTATTGATAATCGGTTTTATACCTTTTTGTATGTATTTGAGTTTACTTATACTCGCCACCAGTTGCCCTTATGGGCGAGTCCTCCAGAAGAGTATATAAGTCATTTTAATGATTCTAGGATCTTTTTATAATAATTTGCTGAGTTTGAATTAATATGATTTTATATATCCTATCCACAGGGCGTTATCAGGGATGAAGGAGATTTAGAGAGACTGGGCCCCAACTTTAAACAAGCATATCAAAAACGTCAAGTAGACCCTTTTGATGAAGAAGCCTGGGACAGCAGATAGGAATAGAAAACAAAAAAACTGTGATATTTAAAGACATATGACATCCTTATTTGATAAAATTTTATGTAAATTATGTTCATTTATTTTTTATATAATTTATTGTATACATTGTGAAAAAAAGAAGAAAAAAAACCAACAATATGGGAAGATTGCTTCGAGTGATTTACCGTATTAAACAAATACATGTTCATTCTTATAGAGTGTAATTATTTTATTTTTGCTGTTATTTTAAAGCCGCATGTCTTCAGACAAGTTTATGAATTTCTTTTTTTCACGGCCACTATAATTATGCAAAAAACTTTTTTCTAAGCATAACATTATATCAATTGTCATGTGTTATAGATGTGCAAATGTTTATGAAAACATTTATTATAGACTTTAAAATAAAATATTGAGAAATATTGATGAATTAAAATGTGTATTTTCATTTTCCGTTTATTGTTTTTTCACTGTAAAAAGTTATGTTTCACTGCATTGAAATATATTTTTCATATTTTCACTGGTGTTGCCGGACTACTTTTTTCTAAATTCAGCTGATACACAAAATTAAAGTAAATGTCTTACAAATTGTCACGTCTAAAAAGAGGAAAACATATGAGCCGCTTCACGACAAAACCAACCTAATGGGTTTGCGACCAGCATGGATCCAGACCAGCCTGCGCATCCGCGCAATCTGATCAGGATCCATGCTGTTCCCTATCAGTTTCTCTACTTGTAATAGACTTGGTTAGCGAACAGCATGAATCCTGATTAGACTGCGCGGATACGCTGGCTGGTCTGGATCTATGCTGGTCGCAAACCAACTATGTTGGTTTTGTCATGACACGGCTCATATAGAATAAACAGAAAACTCAAGGGTTTTTTTTTCTATAAATACAGGATTTATTTTCATCTTATGATATGAAAATTATCATATTTCATTTTGTAGCTACACATAAAAATATTTATTTTCATACCACTTGATGAAAATGAATACTGTATTTATAGGAAAAAAATCCTCTATATATTTGTCTATTATGCCCATAACTTGTGAAGAAATTGGTAATTACTGGTTAGTTATCCAGGAAAGCTGGTTTGGTGGATCATTTACTGAGATATGACCAAAGAATGTGTAAAAATTGATAAAAACAAACAGTATAATACTAAAAGATATTAATGAAGTTGAGGGATATTTTGTGGCACATTGTGTATATATAATTGTATCATAGTTTGGAGACATTTCTGTTGAAAATGTGTCAGGGTTAAATCGTATACATGCACAGTGCGTTAAACTGGAGTGCGGGTATTAGTTACCCGCACTCCAGAGCATGCCCATTGATTGGCTCATTTTTGCTGGGGTTTACATATTGTGACGACAGAGAAAGGGAAAGCGACAGAAATGTCATATTCAGATGTTTGTTCATTGGTTCATTTTTGCCGGGGTTTCATATTGTGACAACAGGGAACGTGCTTTTATGTTTGACTATGATACAAAAGAGAAAGAACACCAAAACACTCGGCAATCTGATAAATACTCGGGGGGGCTACCCCCCCTCGTACAAATCAGATAGCCTCGTGTTTCGGTGCTCTTTCTATTACTTATATAATGAGTTGAAAATTTCAAATTTACTGTTCAATTAGTACAATGTCACCCCAATCTGATTAAAAATCAGCTCTAAATAACGTTCTTCTTTCAGATTCTGATATTCTCATTCATGTTCGTTTTATAATTTTTCACATAAAAAAAAAAAGTTTTTAAATTGTTTTTTTCTTCCCGTTAAGCACAATGTGCTCAAGGTGAGCTATTGTAGTTACCCTGTGTTCCGGTTACCCAGTGTTCCGGTTAGCCAGTGTTCCGATTACCCTGTGTTCCAGTTACCCTGTGTTCCGGTTACCCTGTGTTCCGGTTACCCTGTGTTCCAGTTACCCTGTGTTCCGGTTACCCTGTGTTCCGGTTACCCTGTGTTCCGGTTACCCTGTGTTCCGGTTACCCTGTGTTCCAGTTACCCTGTGTTCCGGTTACCCTGTGTTCCAGTTACCCAGTGTTCCAGTTACCCTGTGTTCCAGTTACCCAGTGTTCCGGTTACCCAGTGTTCCGTTCGTTACCCTGTTTCCAGTTACCCTGTCCAGTTACCAGTGTTCCGGTTACCCTGTGTTCCAGTTACCCAGTGTTCCAGTTACCCAGTGTTCCGGTTACCCTGTGTTCAGGTTACCCTGTGTTCAGGTTACCCTGTGTTCCGGTTACCCTGTGTTCCGATTACCCTGTGTTCCGGTTACCCTGTGTTCCGGTTACCCTGTGTTCCAGTTACCATGTGTTCCAGTTACCCTGTGTTCCAGTTACCCTGTGTTCCGGTTACCCTGTGTTCTGGTTACCCTGTGTTCCGGTTACCCTGTGTTCTGGTTACCCTGTGTTCCGGTTACCCTGTGTTCCGGTTACCCTGTGTTCCGGTTACCCTGTGTTCCGGTTACCCTGTGTTCCGGTTACCCTGTGTTCTGGTTACCCTGTGTTCCAGTTACCCTGTGTTCCAGTTACCCTGTGTTCAAAGTTTCAGATCATTCCGGAACATACCATCTGATGATGGTATATAGGCTAACTAGTAATGTGTCCATAACTGTCTGAGGACACAGATGCCCCCACATATCACTGTCAAGTGTACTGACGTACAGAAGGACAATACGGCAGAGGGACAGACTAAGGAAATTCTACATAACTCCCCCAACCCCAAGTGGTTGAGGGCATAAAAACAACATCCAATGCTGGCATCTTGATTTTTTCCCAATATCAAGAATTTCAAATCTCAATTTTTCATCCTATAGTATGCTTAAATGAAAATAAAAGCAAACAAACCCCGAGATGCACAACTACATATTCTGACTAACGGTCCTGTAAAGTTTTATGACCAGAGGTCAATTAGTTTTTGAGACACAAGTTGAAAATTGCTAATTCATACTACGGTAAGTCAAGGGCAATAACTCTTAACAAAACTGAATTAATCCACAAGCAAAGCCCCAGGTGCGCAGCTTTACATGCCGATCAACTCTCGAGATCTTGTCTGGCTTACAGACACTTAGGGTGTGGAGCTTAAAACACCAAATTAAAAATCCAAATTTTAAAAGGCGTTTTAAGCTCCTGTGGTCTGGCTTAAGCACTTTTAGTTGTTGTACACATGACATAACAGTTTGGAAGTGTTTTTTTTATAAATTAATGGCAATTACTCTACAAATCTAAACAAATATATCAGCAAACTACGGAAGCGTCCTGGTGCCAATTTAACATGTTCTATAGCAAGCGCCCATTTGAATACTGCAGAGCTAAAAATAAAGATAAGCATTTGGAAACATCAAACTAGGTCACGAAATCTAGTCCATGTAAACCATACCATCAGGTGAGCAATTAGGGGCATAATCCCGACCCCCTTTTTCAGTATTTTCCAAAACAATTGCGGTGTAAATTTAATTGGATACGTTCGATTTCTTTTGATTTACCAAAACCCAAAATAGCTGTAACAAAGGCGTTAAATAGTTGGCACCTAACACTATAGGTTTAAGGGTTATAGAAGATAGACTTACTGTAATGTTTTCCCGCCAAAAAAATCTAGCATCGGCTAATGTCGTAATAAATCGGTCATTTCCGAAACGTTATTTTTCACAATTCAATTATTTTTTAGTGCATTGTCAATAAAAGATTTAATTGATTGTTAATAATCTAATACCCAAAATTTAAAAAAAAATCTAACGTTCCGGAAATAACCGATTTGCTACGACATTGACCGATGTTCCGGGGAAATTCAAGGCTTGGGTGTACCAACACAATCTACTACCCAGACTCGTTTGGCCAATGATGGTTAACGATATTCCAACCAGTACAGTAGAGAAGCTGGAGCGGACTGTCAGCAAGCACCTAAGAAGATGGTTAGGCTTGCCTCCATCCTTCACCAACATAGCTCAAGCCGGTGCTAGGGGGCGTGAGGGATGTTGCACTTATTCATTATCCCTCATGTACAGACTCAATCAAACCGAGTCTGCAATTCTTATGTTATTTTGTTGTGATTAATGCTTCCGAGGGATCACTTTGTTTCCAGAATTTTTTAATTCTCTACAGCAAGACAGCAAAGCTACAGATGCCCATCAACTCTATTGTAGAGGAATTCAAAGTTGCTAAGACCAGACTTCTGCTAACGCTGAGAGATTCCAAAGACGAGAAGATCAGCGGCGCTGGCATCGAGGTTAGGACTGGGCGAAAGTGGTCAGTGAGTCGTGCGGTGGAGCTTGCAGAGAGCAGTCTCAAGCACCAAGACATTGTGGGTATGACAAACATAGGAAAAGAAGGACTAGGCACCAGGAAGCACCAAAGATGGGAGACTTCAACACAGCAGGAAAGAAGATCCCTAGTACAGACCGAGATCAGGAAAGAAGCAGAGCAGGAAAGAATGTCAAGGGCAGTCCAGCTAGGACCACAGGGAAACTGGACAAGATGGCAGGTTCCAGAAAGGAAATTATCCTGGCAAGAGATCTGGCAGTACGAGCCACTCAGACTGAGTTTCCTGTTTTGTTCTATCTACGACATGCTCCCATCTCCTACCAACCTGTACCAGTGGAAGCTGATTGACGACCCGGCATGTCCATTGTGTGGTTCACCAGGATCACTCAAACATGTACTCTCATCATGCCCCACAGCCCTATCTCAGGGGCGCTACAGATGGCGTCATGACCAGGTCCTGTCTGAGGTAGCCCATGTCCTTGAGACCGAAAGGAAGAAAGAGAGACCGAGGCCAAACCAGAACCGCTACATCGGGTTCCTGAAGGAGGGAGAACAAGTACCCAAGTCAGCCCCAGCATCGACCGGAATCCTGAATGAATCCAGGTCATGGGAAATGAAGGCTGACCTAAAGGAACAACTACAGTTCCCCCAGGAAATCGCCCAGACTACCCTCCGGCCAGACATTGTGATATGGTCCAGAAATCCTAAACGAGTGGTGCTGGTTGAGCTGACAGTCCCATGGGAGGAACGCATTGAAGAATCCCACGAGCTCAAGAGGTCCAAGTACGAAGACTTGGCCCAATCCTGCAAGTCCAACGGCTGGAACACTCAGGTCTTCCCGATTGAGGTCGGATGTCGTGGCTTCCCATCACAATCAGTGTGGAGGATGCTCGGAGCATTGGGCATCAAAGGAGCGGCACGAAAGCGCACAGTCCATGCTCTGGGGAGAACAGCCGAAAGAGCGTCCAGTTGGCTATGGATGCTCCGTAGCAAACATGAATGGCAGCCAAGGTAGACGGGGTAGGGCCTGATCAACCCTACTTGCTCCACCATCCCGAGGGTGTCCCGAGTGTAAATGGAGCGAAACACCTGCAGACGGATGGTAACTCGGCTGATGACGTCTACCTTCAGCAGGACATCTGTTATTCAACTTTAGAAATTTTTGACCGGGAAAACATTGGATCATTAAGAGGCTAAGAGCCTCACCAATGTTTCTGGTTTTAGTACAAATGTAGATCTACCCGTGTAAATATCCCAAGGTAATTAAAATTATCAACAGTTTCTATTTTTTCGTTATTGTAAGTCCAACAATCATCATGTTTAATAGGACCTCTTTTTATAACTAAAAATGTGTCATCATGCCACGGATGCCCCCGCATGCAGCCAAAATTTCAGATGTTATAATATTTAGTTCCAAATTTGTTTGCACAAATTATTTTTTTCATTTTAAGTTAAAAGCCCTTAAAACTTTTCAATGTTAACACAAACCATTTTCATACAATGTTCAAGGCACTGAAATTATTCAGTCTAAACCTTTTGAAAATAGCATATTTCATATTTGTAGCCAAAATAATGGCTACATACATTTCAGTGCTCATTTCAGTGCTGGAACTGAAAGTTCAAAATTTTTCCAACATTCAAGAAAGATAAGTTTGTCCAAAATCATTGAACCACGACCAAATTCAAACTTAAACTGCTTATTCCTAAGATGTATCTAATAATTATTATTTTCAAAGTGAAAGGGACATAACTCTGCCAAAAAATCATCGAACCATGACCAAATTCCAACTTGACCTGCCCATTCCTTTGACATATCCATATGTCAAATTTGAGTTGTTGGGTAGATAATGAACAGAAACTGTAAATTTCATATTATTTTCAAAGTGAAAGGGGCATTACTCTGCCAAAAATCATTGAACCATGACCAAATTCCAACTTGGCCTGGGCTTTCCAAAAACATATCCATATGTCAAATTTGAGTTGAATGTGTTGTACCGTTGGGGAGATAATAAACAGAAACTGAAAATTTCATATTATTTTCAAAGTGAAAGGGGCATAACTCTGCCAAAAATCATTGAACCATGACCAAATTCGAACTTGACCTGTATTTTCTCACGACATATCCATATGTCAAATTTGAGTTGAATGCGTTGTACCGTTGGGGAGATAATGAACGGAAACTGAAAATGTCATATTATTTTCAAAGTAAAAGGGGCATAACTCTGCCAAAAATCATCGAACCATGACCAAATTCGAACTTGACCTGTATTTTCTCATGACATATCCATATGTCAAATTTGAGTTGAATGTGTGCAACTGTTACTAAGATAATGAACGGAAACTGATGATGACGGAATGACAGAATGACGGAATGACAGAAGGACGGAACAGGGTAACACGATATGCCCCGGCCATTACATGGCGGGGGCATAAAAACAATAATGTTCGTCCAGACCCCTATTACAATATGTATAAAGCAAGTGCAGGCTATTTTATAGGTCGCTAACAGTATCGCTTAAAATATTCATGTCGTCTGCAAATTACAAAAGTATGAAAATTGTATCATCTAGTGACAAGCCGCTATCATGTTTTTCTTGCAAAAATAGTTCAAAGTCATCAATAAATTAGGAGAAAGTCAAAAGGGACAAAACCTCAACTTCTGCACATTCGAAGAATTCCGAACATAAATTACAGAGACAATAATGAAAGGAGGTAACCCTTAAAAGGGCTGTTGGTGCCAAGAAAAGAGCTTGCTTTACAAGCCGTCTATCTGTGCTCAAGGCTCACTCACCCTAGCACACCATCCTCGTCGTCTCAGCCGCATTGTAGGGCCACTCCCCTCGGCTTTAGTCGGGGGACAATGGCAACTGGTAGTCGAAGACATTCGGAACTGCCTCGGCTATTATCTATAATAGTCCTTATCCGAAGACTGACGGAAATGGCCGAGTAGTTGCGATTGAGTCGAAGACGAAGTAGTAGCCCCGAGAACGGGAAGGCATTTTAAAGTTTTATATCCGTTAGCCGCAAATCTTCTGCCGATGCCCTGTGCCTTCTCAGCGACGTCATGTTCGGAGGGAAAATGAGAAGTTTACGTACGTGTGTGTGTTTTAAAGTTTATTTATACTGGGCGCCGGATATACCATATGTCCCAGACCAATGAAACTATCGGTCCATGTTACGTCGCTGGTCGTAGAGTCGCTGGTCGTAGAGACGCTACGGAGGACTGATCAGTTTAATTGCCTCTATATACCGCTGATCTTAGAGCCGCAACGGAGGACTTAGTTTAATCTCCTCCATACGTCGCTGATCGTAGAGGTCCTCTCAAGCTGACTGTCGTCGTAGAGATATTTACAACAGGACCAAATTCTTCTCATCGTACAACAGAGGAAGAACACCTCTTCTTGGAGGTAACAGCATCTTTATAGAGCCTCACCCTTCGCCGTAAGTTAGGTCACACCCTTCGTCGTAAGTTAGGCCACAACCTTCGCCGTAAGTTAGGCCACACCCTTCACCGTAAGATAGGTCTGGTGCACGCCGCGGGATTGTTAGAGTGGTTACGTACGTCACAATGATCATTTTTTTATCTTTATAAATAGGCACAATAACTCCGCAAGACAATTCACCTGGAAAATATACGAAATTTAGAATATCATTAAACATTTCAACCAAATGAGAATGGAGTATATCATAGCATTCTATAAAATATACGTTTATAAAATTATCCATGCCACAGGCTTTATTCTTCTTTAATTTTTTAATAATAAAATTCCACTTCAGCAGAAGTAATTGGCTTATCTAGCTCATCAAAGCTACAAGAATTTGTTACAAAATTATAGTCTGAACAAAAATCCTCAGCTTACGTAAACTTGAAAAAGTATTATAAATATCTTCAATAGACAATGTGTTACTATCCTTATTTTTTTTTTCGAAAAAAAAAGCCACAAGTTCCGACGTTTAGAATGATACAGCTTTTCAATATTTCTTATCTTATTTGCTTTAAAAATTCGCCTTTCCTTTACAGTAACTATTCGTAAACCAGCTTTTCAATATTTCTTATTTTATTTTATTTATAAAATCGCCTTTTTTTTAAAAATTATTTTAAACAGCTTTTCAATATAAATTTCTTATTTATTTGCTTAAGGTATTACCATCCTAATGCATTACCTCCGCCTTGAAGAGTATTCAAATAGGCTATAACTACTGTTAACAACATTGAAAATGAAGGCCGTGGGTTCAATCCCCAAAAGGGTCAACTATTGTTTCTTTCTTTTTTTCTTTTAACATTATTTATGTATCTCTCATGTCCCATTTGGAAAGAAAAAAGTGTTTAATTTTGATTTTTTAATTTACATAGGTATTTATTGGATAAATTATGCTAAATCTAGTAATAATCTGGTACCTGATATTTTCAAAGTGTAATAAAATCAAAACTAGACAGTAAAAGAATTTCATATTTTACAAGATCAACCAATATACTTCTTAAAAAATTTAGGGAAACTTTGAAAACAAGCACTCATTTGGGTAAATTTTAAGGATTTTTTAAATTAGACTCCCTTAGTAGGAAAATGGCCAGACACATGGTAAAATGGGTGGGGTAGGGTAATATTTTTATACAGATTTCATAAATTTTAAGTAGAAGCAGTAATTTTACTTATGTGGATTGTTAGCTGAATTGTACTATTTGTTTCTTACTAAAAATTAATGGGAAAACATTTTTCATTAGAATGTTATTGCAGATTATTTAAAGGTTCCTCATTTCTAAAAAAAAGGGGCCCTCATAACATCCTAGCTTGAGTTCAGAAAAGTGGCCATAACTTGATTTCCGTGCGGTAAACTTTGTTTAAACTTTGCATACAGGTGTACTTTATAATTAAGGTATATATCTGACCTATGATGTCAATTTTTTAGTTCCTTATAGTGCCCATTAGGGTCGTAATACCTTAAAAACTCGCCTTTACTTTTAACCATCATTTTATACCTTCGTTTTAATCTCAACATACCAGTTTTATTTTCTTCACTTTTTTAATCTACAAAAAAGAGATATAGCATAAAAAAACTCACATTTAGCCTGACGACTTTCATTATCAAACCAATCGGCTTTTATCAAGATCTAAATCTAGCATTGAATTTTTTTGTTGGATCTATTATTGTAAATTTCTTTTTTAAAAAATGCAACCTCATTTATTCGGCTCCATTGTTCCATCCACGCTGAGGTATTGTGAGATACGAACAACAATAAACAATTGTTTATAAAAGGCTTACTGAAACTTTTAAAGATTTAATTTAAAAATTTCATTTTTGTGCCCCTTCATTCGTGCGTTAATTCTTTTGTTGTGTCGCATGTAGCTCTAAAAGTGCTTGAGCTATTGTGATGTTAATCAGCATGTGAAGTTTTGCAACTGGTGTTTCGCATGTAGATTAATTCAGTATCGTCAAAGTAATTGCCCTTGATTTAGTAAAAAAAAATGGCTTTTTTCACTTTGTGTCACGCACAGCTCGAAAAGTATTTGAATCTATATATAGTCATGAAACTTTACAAAAATGTTGATTATCATTTGAAGTGATGCACCTGGAGTTTTGCATGTAGATTAAAACAATTTTGTCAGAGTTTTAAACTAGCTGTTTTGTTAATTTTTGTAGTTATATGTTTGTATATATGTCACAGGGTGAGAAAAATGTGCAGCCTGACCGGGACTCGAACCCGGGATCTTCGGAATACCGTTCCGCGGCTCTACCGACTGAGCTGTCCGGCCACTAACACATCTTCTCCCCTAAATAGTGAACAGTTCTGAACCGTGACATACTCCCCTGCGATATTGAAATTCGTCCTCGAATTTCACAGAGTAACAGAGCAATGTAAATTAAACTTTGAGCTATATCAGTCACGGGCCCCACGTTGGGCGCCAAATGTCACAGGGTGAGAAAAATGTGCAGCCTGACCGGGACTCGAACCCGGGACCCTCGGAATACCGTTCCGCGGCTCTACCGACTGAGCTATCCGGCCACTTACACATC